AGTTGTCCTTTTTAGTCACATCATTTAACTTCCTATAATCAACGCAAAAACGGGTAGTGCAGTCCTTCTTCTTTACCAAAACAACTGGCGAAATCCAGGGACTTGATGACGGTTCGATGACGCCTTGATTCTGCATTGTTGTTATCATTTCGTTTACTTCTGTTTGTTTTGCTAGAGGAAGACGTTGTGTTACTTGTCGGATCGGTTTCAAATCCTGAGTATCAGTTCGGTGAGTTACCAGAGCTGTTTTACCTTGGTCATTGTCACCGGTTGAAAACACGTCTGCAAAATCAGCAATCAACGCCTTGGCTTTTAGACGGTTTTCTTGATACAAATTAAGTTCATCCAGTAGATTTTTTGTAAGTTCTTTGAGTCTACCTTTGTCAGTTGGTAGAACCTTTTCCTGTTGCTCCATATCTAATGATTTCACCAAATTTATTGATTGGCAATTACCTATTTCCTCGCCTTTTTTAATTTTAATAGTGTGTTTAGCGGTATTCATTATTCTGACAGGAATAAGACCATTTTTGTTCGCTTCTACCAGGCATTTTCCAATGACTGCGTTCTGTACATTTGTCGTTGAGGTTGGCTCCATCAAATAGAACTGGTGGCCGCCAGGATCGCAATTCAACTTGCCCCATACAATGTTTTCAGATGAATGAGGTAGTTCTATGTCACAATCGACTGTCACTCAAATGCATTTTTCGTCGCTATCCCCCATTATCACTTCTGTATTTCTCCATCTAAGAATGCGTTTTTCTAAGTCAATTTTGAACCCATATTTCGTCAGAAAGTCAACACCTATTATGCATTCGTCGATGATATCCGCGACTAAGAATGAACCTTCGAATAACAAGTCGCCTAGCTGAACAGTACGGAGAATCTTTCCATAGACTGGTGCTGTTCCTCCGGTAGCTGTTCGAAGGATGTATTTGTTAGAAGTCTCTTTCTTCAGATTGGGTACCAAATCAGATCTTAAAATCGATTTTGTTGCTCCGGTGTCGACTGTAATTACACATTCTCGTTGATCAACTTTTCCGTTCAGCCATAGGTCATTTCGATTTCGATGTAGTCTGGAAACGTTAATTACGGTACTGGGGGCGTCAATTCTACTAGCCAACCTCTGCCCCACAAAGTTGGCGTTTATTAGTTTTCCCGTCCCTTCGTTAGAAGGGGCCGATCGTGATACAGGATAATCTTCTCTTCTTTTGCGCCATCTTGTCGCGCAATTTCGGCAGTAGTTATCTTTTAGGCGGTGTTTACAATCACGACGTAGATGGCCTTTTTCACCACAAATCCAGCATTGGAGTACACCATGCTGTTGAGGTTCGCGTTTCACAACCACCTTCTGGCAAGGGCATTCTTCATGTACTTGGCGTAAACGTACGTCACTTTTTGATGCTTGCTTTGCCGATTCAAAAGTGAGACTGTGCGCAACGGCATCCTTGAGTTTTCGTTTATCTGACAAGAGAAGGGATTGCTTGAGTTCCGAATCACGAAGGGCTTTGATAAACGTATCCAGGGCAGTTTCGTCTCTATGCTCGGGGTCTGATGTCGGATACGACAGCAATGTCAACCGTTCGATATCTTGTGCCAGCTGCTGAATGGATTCACCAGATCGTTGCGTTCTGTTTCTAAGCTGAGACCGATAAATCTGTTTCATGTGTTCTTCACCATAACGTAAATCCAACGCGCTAACCGGAACTTCATAGTTGAAGTGGTTCTCCGCCGGAATCGTCTGAAGAACCTCTGCTGCTGAACCTCGCAGGGCCAGTATCAGTGCTGTTGCTCGTTCTTTTCCGTTCCAACAGTTACTAGTTGCCGCTGCTTCGAACTGGATTTTATAAACGTTCCAGGACATCTCTCCGTCAAATGCTGGTACCTTCAAAGTTCTTCCGGATGCGTGATCTAACGGCATGGCCATTTTTTTGGTTTGCTCCAATTCTCGCTTCAATTTGTCTATCTTTTGATCTACCTCAACGGTCTGACGATCAAGTTTCTGCTCGATCATTTCTATTCTTGTTGACTGTTCTTCAATCTGTTCTGCCACTTCTAATTTTACGTGTTTTAGCTGGTCCTTGATCTGTTTTAACTCCTCTGTCTGTCGTTCGGACTGTTCCTTGATCTGTTGTTTTAACTCTTCTGTCTGTCGTTCGGACTGTCGTTCGGACTGTTCTTTGATCTGTTTTAACTCCTCTGTCTGTCGTTCGGACTGTTCCTTGATCTGTTGTTTTAACTCTTCTGTCTGTCGTTCGGACTGTCGTTCGGACTGTTCTTTGATCTGTTTTAACTCCTCTGTCTGTCGTTCGGACTGTTCCCTGATCTGTTGTTTTATTTCAGTTGACATACTAAGCAGAAGTTCCATCATTTTAGCGGTTGTAAACGTGCCTGTGCTAATTTCATTGTCTTCGTCAGCACCATCAAACTTGAATTCGTCTGGGTTCTTACCTTCGTCAATGAGAGCTTTTCTCAGACGTGTTACTAGTACTTCTTTGTTGCCACTTGTAACAAGGCTTCGTTTCTGTAGTTCTTCTCGTAGCTGAACAACGTTCAAACCACACAGTTTTGACATCGTGTTCTTTTCCTATGAGTAGTAATTCGCTAGTCGAAGATCCCACTTCTGACACCAATGTTATAATACTCGCTGTCGTAACCGATTTACGATGCGACGGGTTCAAATCTTCGATTGAATAAAATACTCCAAACAGTTATTAGTTATTAACCTTTATTTACAGAAGAAATCAACTAATCGTTTATTTCTAGCAAATTCGAATTAACACAACAATTAACTTTTAAATTGTTAAAAATCTATCGCTATGACAACGTCAACAAAACAAATCAAATATCGCTTTAAATAATTCACCGAATCGCTATTCACAAAATCACAGTTACACGAAGGTAATGTTCGCGACTGTTTTGGTGTATCTAACAGGCGGAACCAATATTGTCAAATTGGCTGAACAGTACGAAGGTAATGTTCGCGACTGTTTTGGTGTATCTAACAGGCGGAACCAATGTTGTCAAATTGGCTGAACAGTTTGAACTAATATATTTTCGTTTAATAATATTACACAAAATAATTAAAAATTTAATTTTATTATATAAGCATCTGCGTCTTGTTAATTTTTGGAAACGATACGATTTCGGCTACGAAGCGTATCTAACAGGTGGACTCAATCATGTCAAATCGGCTGAACAGTTTAATCTAATAAATTTTCGTTTAATGAAAATACACGGAATTATTAAAAATTAATTTTATTACATACGAATCTGCGTCTCGTTATTATTTTGAAAACGATACATAACGATACCATAACAATACGATAACGAGGTATTGAAGACTATATATTGATATAATAAAATCATGTGCACAAGTATGTGCACAAGTTGTATGATGATTTTTGAGTTTTTGAAAGATAGTATTTGAACATCGCGCAATAACAATGACGCTAGGCACATTTACAGTCTGCCCTTAGTTGTTTTCCCGCCAACTCTGCTTTACAAAATGTACTGTATTAAAACAGAAAAAAGTTAAAGGTCAATTATACTCTTCCAAAGTTCAGAGGATTCAACAGAGCGCAAAACATCGTAAATGAACATCGTGCTAAACAACGCATTACACACGAAGCATGTGATACGCGGGGATATTTTAACAGAAAAAAGTTAAAGGTCAATTACACTCTTCCAAAGTTCAGAGGATTCAACAGAGCGCAAAACATCGTAAATGAACATCGTGCTAAATGACGCATTACACACGAAGCATGTGATACGCGGGGATATTTTTGTCACATTCGAACCCGGTTACTGCGAAACAGCACCAGGCGACCTTAACCATTAGACCATCACGCCGCCCAGTCATTTTGCCCAGAAAACAGCCATTCAATTGAAAAATTAAACAAAAGTTTGTTTTGTTCGTATTTTTTATTTGATACGAGACTTTTTGGAGAATGTCTCGTTTTAATAACGATACGATATTTTTAGAGTCTTTATTAAACCAAAGTCATTCCATTGGAAAAAATTAAATAAGTTTTAATATTTTATAACACTTTATTTGTTTACAATGTGCACTTTTACCATTTCCACACATTGAAATAATGGTACGAGACGAAAATTGTGTCTTTTATTTTTTATTTCGATATGATAGACTTTCCTAAAAATGTCTTGTTTAAATAACGATAGGAGATCTCTGGTATTGTTATTAAAGGATACAAACTTTTTCGTATCGTTTTATAACGATACGAGATATTTTTTACCGTTATTATTATTAAATCTCTATCGATTGGTAACGAAAATAACGGTTCGAGACGCAGGTGCATAGTATAAGATTCTATATATTATTTTGTTGACATCATAATACAATTTAAAATTTGTACAGTATATTATCGAATATTTTAAAATTGTGTTATACTTTGATTTATAAATTAATTTTAATGAACTCGATGAATTAAACAAGAACTGCAAAGAAGTATTGGACTTAATTATGAAAGTTTTTGGTCCTTGTTATTATCTCGCAAACAACCTAAGTGCACCACAGTTTTGAAGTTTCCTGTATCTGATGTGTTACAACGTCATTCCTGCTCTTGCTTGTAGTATAGTTTATAATTTGATTAACACAAAATGGCAATACCAGAATAGAATACCGTGATTGTACTTTTTTAAATTTTAGATGTTTTTTAGATTATGTTTTGAAACGGAATAAAATTAAGAAAAATACTTTTAAAATTATGCTGCATGTTTAAACTCTAGTGTTACTTTCGAAAGAAATGTTCATGTTTTAATTCTCGCGTTTTAATTCGCGGCATTCTTTTCTTTTTTAAACGAGTTATTTGCTACAATTTTGTGTACCAGATCCCCGTTTTTTGTTGGCTTCTCTAAAAAGAATTACGTTTATACTAATATAAATTGTTTTAATTTTACACGTAGTAGTAGTTGATGACTCAACTTCCTTCATTGTTTTTTGGCCCAAGGTGACATAAAAATTACATCACAAAACGGACCGGATTAGCGTAGATCCAGATGTTTATGTTTCGGCAGTAAATACCGTCAGTGAAACAGCACGTTCAATCCAGGACGTTGCTCGTCAATAGTTCTATATTTCTGATGCTGTGTCACATCAGAATTTGTCAAATGGAGGCATTAGTCCATTGTTAACAGCTCAACGTAATCGACAAATTTTTAGTGTTATTTTGGAACAGGAAATAGCGAAAGAGTAGGCCTGTTATTTCAAATCAGTTAAACCTGAAAACGAAAACGACGAAACCAAGTATTCATTTGTCATAACTAAGGCGTGATGGCTCAATGGTTAAAGGCGCCTGGTCTTGCTATTGCATTGACTGGGTTCAAATACAAAGAGATCCCCGCCTATCATATGCAATGTGTATGATGCGTGGTTTGCACGCGTATTCATATACGCTCTGTGTGTTTGTCGTTGAAACCTCTGAAGCAAACGCAAAAGAGAGAGAGAAACCTTTTAACCTTTATGGTGAATATTTAATAACTTTCTTTTTCGTTGTAATAATATTTGATGCTAATAACATTCAATCCCAACCTGTGTATCAAACAACTTCGATATTGGGGTTTGTTTATGACATTTGTTTGTTACATTTTGAAACCGCAATTTTTTTAACGTTAAATAAAAAAAGTTATAAATGTTTTAATAAATGAGTAATTAAGTCATATCACACACACAAACACATTTATATAAAAAAAATTGATATATAGGTACATATAATATATATATATATACAAAGATATATTAAACAACAATGCATACTTTTTTATAAACTTTTTATTACAAATAAAAATGTTAAAAATTTATTTCGTGCACTTTAGAGAATAAATGATGTTTCTCTTAAAGTTCATCATTCCACGTTCATTCAGGTGGATGCCGTCAGGTCCTATATTATTATCTCCTCCCACTCTGCAAAGCTTCCAGAAATGAACAATGGTAGACTGGAATTGTTTCAATGAGACATTTAGTTTATCAACTTTCCATTTCTGAAGGTCTTTTCTATAAACCAGGCTTAATATGATTATTCGGCGCGGTCTGATTTTGTTCTCTAACAGTCTGAGTAAGGATTCATATCTCGCGGCCACGAGTTCCGGGGTTTCAGTCGTCAAATCATTGCCTGGTATTTAATATTAATGATTAAAAATTAAACAAAACTGTTATTATATTAAAAGAAAAATTGGGAATATAATTGTCTATTGGAAGATGCAAGTAAAACAGGACGTTCAATCCAGGACGTTGCTCGTCAATAGTTTTATTTTTATGATTCTGCGTCAAATCAAAATTAGTCAAATGGAGGCATTAGTTCATTGTTAAAAGTTCAGCGTAATCGACAAATTTTTACTGTTAATTTGGAACCTAACCACATAATACATTCCCGTGTTGAAGTTAGAACCACGTGTTAAAGTTAGAATCACGTGCTAAAGTTTGAATGAAATCACGTGTTAAAGTTATAACATTGGGCTTTAATAAAACTACATGCTAAAATTAAAATCACGGATTTTTATCGAATAAATGAAAAACAGCCACTCAAGTTGCCAAGTAACAAAAAAGAACCAAAATGAACAATAAGCATTTATAGAAGCAAAACAATGCCATTTAATCTAGGTTTCCCTAAACGGAAAATCAAATGAAAAAAAATTTGGCTTAAAAGTAGCGGTAACGATTTTATTTTAGCTTTAAAAGTAGTGCCGCTACCAATATCGCTACTGCTCAATCCGCTGCCACCACTGAAAAACGTGGTGGCGCTACTGTTGCTAATAACCCAACCATGCACGGCATAGTAGTTTAAACTGTACGCAGCGATAATTACCATCAACTAAGTAGCAGAGATGGGCAAATTACACACTATATTGTAATTTCGATACAAATTACAAAATACTCTAAATATTGTAATTTCGATACCAATTACAAATTACATTTAATAAAAGAGGCAAATTACTAATTTTAAATTATATGAAATTAAATAACATCAAACCAGTTTTGAATAAATGAAAAAAAAAATTTTCTTTGAAGTTATTTAAACATTGATTTTTCTTTGCGCTGATATTCTTTGATGTCATTTTTATATTCATTTATTAAGTTTTCTTTCAACAATCTGTTCAATCATTTAACAAATGACTGAAGAAAGAAAGATATTATTCACCACTACTTTTGATTTTGCATATTCTTTGATGTCATTTTCATATTCTCTTATTAATTTACTTTCTTTCGATCAACTTGTTCAATCGTTTAATGAACGACTGAAAAAGGAAGGAAGGAAAGAAAGAAAGAAAAAAAAAGAAGCGTCAAACACCAAAGAAGTCTACTTCTATAATGTAGCTATATGACCATAAAACTTTGAAGAAGCAAATGAAATTTTTAATCAAATAAATTTTCAGAATTTAAAATTTTTTTAGAATTTCAAGAAAAAAAAAATTTCAATAATAATAATAATAATAATTTGTGTAAGTATATCTGTTTACTCACATATAAACTATATTTTTTAGTCAAAATGTAATCTAAAATTACTTTGAAATTACCAAATTACGTGAAAGATGAAATTACTAAATTACAAATTACCAATTAATTAAAAAGTAATTTCGACACAAATTACAATTGTAATTTGAATTACGTAATTTCATTACTTGAATTACATTACTGCCCATCTCTGCTAAGTAGGAAAAAAACATGTCGTGGTATTTTACCCACGCAGTGATATTTACCGCCGACGACGTAAACAATGTCCGCGTACGTAATTTTTCATAAAATACGTCGCGATATTTTCCACGAACGCTGCCTTATGTTATTGGAATACACGTTGAGGAAAAAGTGCATAGTCAGCAGAAATATAAAAAAATAGAGAAAAAATTTCATACTCATTAGTTAGATCAATCTCCAGTAGAGAGCGATCAAGATAATAAAAATGACATGCGAAAAGGAAATGTGTAATTTAAAATGATAATAAGATTAATCTAAATTTTAAAAATTCTCAAGAACACCGCCACTCCAATTTGATTGTTAAGTATTTTAATAAAATTGTCTGTAAATAATAAAAATATGTGAATTTATAGAAGAAAGATTTGCCTACCTGGGAATGGGGCATTCCAAAAGCAAATATCGTGCCAACAGAACGAAAACCATCGCATTCAGTCTGAACGTTTATTTTTAAATCATTAAGTACTTCACATGTCTTCTTTTTTTTGTTCTCAGTCATTAATTTGTACCTCACTTTGCTGAATAATAATTCTGCATCCTGTCTTCTTGATTCCTCAACTGAAGCCCACTTTACAACCAAATCAAAAATATCGAATTCACTGCCAACATTAACAAGATCCGATTCAACCAAGCGTAACATGTCGCCTGACGATAGTGTTAATATTTCGGATTTCGAGACAATGTACTTAAATCTGTCAAAAATATATTCAAATACTCTCGATTGCCTCAAACACGCTGAACTTGTTTGCAAACTCCAAAATACGTGCGTACGTTGACTGGTTCAAATATCCCAATAAAGAATCAAGATATTTATCTGTCATTTTTTTAATTAGCAAATAAAGCGAGCTTTCCAAACCTTTTTCTAGGCAGCATAACCTTTCCAAGTCCCTGGCATTAAAATGGCTTTTGTTGTTTTGTAAGTTAGATAAAAATAATTTAACCTCTTTCTTTGAAACGGGCATCAATCATTCCACTGTTTACCAGAGCTTGAAAATATTCACTGTTCTGTAGTAATAAATCTTTATCAACTTCGTAACGACCACCTTCATTAGAAATTAACACGATTGTAGGTGATTCTTCGACAGTATCATCCTTCTCCATTCCACGTTTTTTGTACTATTTAACTCTTTATCTATCTTTTATATCGCAGCAAATTATTTATTCTACAATTATCCGATCAAAATAGAATTTTATTCCTTTAGCACGTGGTTCGAAATTACACAAAAGTTGTAGCAATGATGTCACTTGCATAAGCATTCTCAAAGATTGCAAATATATAAATTGGTTTAGTTCACTCAAAGACACATTTCATAACAAGCTTTTTAATTTGTTTTCAATGCTATATTCATTTGTACGATGACGACGAGAAGGTTTCAATGATAAAACGATGAAGTGTTTATTACGAATGAAATGAGTACGATTATTTTGATGATAACCGGTTAATAAAACCATCATCATAATAACAACAACAATAAATTAATTTAATATTAATAACACTAGTAATGATAATAATATTACTGTATAATAAACATTTTTTTCAATATTATCATTTCTCTTTAAGTGTTAATAATTATTACTTTATTTTTCTTACTATAAATTTTATCTATATATATTTATTCAATGTAAATGACATTACCAGAAGCAAAAACAGCACTAAAGTTGTCAAGCAAAACATTGTCATCATTTGCGGATCCAGAATTTTGCTGTGAGGAATGATTTTAAAATTATAAAGCTGGTGACAAGAAATTTATTGCTAATCTGTTTGTATGACTTTCAAAATTCTTAAGTTATTGACCTTTTTGATATTTTCGTTTATTCTATTGCTATATTTTACACAAAAGTTTAAAAATTTTTCTCTTTTATGGTCTGGTTGGAGAGATACGTCCCCATATTCCTCTTAGATCCACCATTGAATTACGTACCCACATTCATTATATTAGATGCAGTAAAATCTTAGGGAGTAAGACAAGAGCTAAAATAAAATGGCGCAAACTCTGTTAGGCCAACATTTATTTGAATTCATGTGCTTAATTTCAATTTTTTAGAGTAGTTCAATCACATATATAAAATAAATTGAATAGGCCACTGCTTTATGATAAAACATCCCTGAGACTTGTAGCATATATGACTCAAAGGGATTCAATCAAGTTATTGGAGTTTATCTAATTTATTTTATATATTTATGAAATCCATCATTGAGTTATATTATATAAAAAATATCTTTGAGAGTTGTAAAGGGTAATTAACATATGTTCCGCAAAAAGATTATTAGAATATAATGTAAATATTTCATTAAGCTATCGGAATCCATTATTATTACACCGTCTTTTGAGTTCAATAATTAATTGTAAATAAATTGGTTAGCCCCTCATTAGTAATATTCTACATATATTGTTATAACTGCGGGAATGATCGATTTGCGCTATATTATTTGTTATCCTAATTATTGTTATTTTTCCTATGTTATCTTTGGATTGTATTGAATCTATACTAAAAATCTGGGCTATAAATAGGTCCTGCGTAGTCAGGTTTGCAGTAGAGCCCCAAGCAGAGAAGATTTTTCCAAACTGACATGCACGCATTCGCAGAGCTTACGTCCGCAACCGCCCGCATCCGCACTGCTCATTATCCGCATCCACAAATTAACATACATATTTACTGTACTGTACATAAACATATATTTTCGTTCCAGAATATATATCTGGAACGACCATTATTATTATTATCAATTATTATCAAACACTTATAAAGCGCCTATTAAAATAAATATCTCTCACAAGCGCTATCGAAAAAAGAAAAATAATAAACGAACAGTGAAATAATGTACATCCTGAGACGATTCATTATCATAATTTTTGCAAATGATTTTATTAATTACTTTCCACAAGTTTTTAGGGTTTCCGTTGTTTTCCTTTACCAGTGTTTTCCAATAACAATTTTTTTTTAGAGAAACATTTAGTTTTATTTCGCAAAGCAGCAATCCACTCACTCCGACAGGCAGATGATAAATATTTTCTATATTTCCTTTCTTTCTGTCGACAAAGTTTATATATATATATATATATATATATATATATGTGAAAATCTGTTTTATATATATATATATGCAATTATTGATGAAAATTACAGCATGTTCGGCGTTAGTTAACTTCCAGTTTAACTTTTCAATTTTTCTAAAAGTTGATCGTGATCATTTTCAAGTTTCTTTAGTTCCAAACAAAAATTTTTGTTTGTTTTATGCATGATAGAACAGAAAATATAACCAAAAATTTTGGTATTGAACTAAAGAAACTTGAAATGATTTAAGATTTAACGCCGAACATGCTGTGATTTTCATCAGTAATAGCATTTCTGACAGTCTTAATCCAATATTTGTATATTTATATTATTATTCATGTTTTATATATATATATATAAATAAATAAATATATCTATATACATGTATCTATATGTTACTATACATATTATTATTATTATACGGAAATTTATACAGCGCTTTTTAAAACAAAAAGTTCTCAAAAGCACTTACAAGCAGAACAAAAAAAAAAAAACATAAAAAAACATATCGTAATAAGTTGATCGTCAAATACAAGAATAAAAATGTTGTTTAAAGAAGTGCGCTTTCAATTGTCTGCAAAAATCAGAAAGCGAGAGTCCAGGCAGACAAAGACTAGGAGGCAGACTGTTCCAGACCATGGGTCCAGCCACTGCAAAATTTCTTCCACCAGTCATTGAGTTCGAAGTAGGGGAGATGGGGGCTCATTGATCTCTGGGGCACATTGATCTTTAAGCAATAACATAGCTATTTCTAAATATAAATGTAGGCCATCACTATTTTAGTTTTCCTTTTGTTTCTATTCTACTTTTAATCCTATTTGTTTATGGACTTTCTGCCGCTGAAGTTCGAAAAATTCGTAAGTTTTTTCACAACTATTCACAACAGGTTAGTTTTGTAAATTAAAAATCAGATAAATATTTGTTTGATAAATTAAATTTTGCAATGTGTAAAGATATGTCAGAGGCTTATTTTATTATTTACTTCGATTTTCAATCACAACTTATTGATGAGATATCGCCATTATAGTGTGCTCCATGCCATGGGGGCTCCTTGATCTGTACTAGTAAGGGGTACGTTGATCTGAAGATCAAAGTGCCCCTACTGTCCTCAGATAATAATTCTCCAGGATGTTTAGTCATTTTTCTCTAACCATGCAAAATGCTATTTTTCCATTATTGTAAAATGTAATTTGTGTACTTTGCAGGTTTGGTTTCATAATGGTGAGATATCGGGAGCGAAAAACTAATCGAGGTAAAACACCTGTTAAAGTGATGAGAACAGCAGTTGATGAAGTTCTGAAAAAGAACAGAGCTATCAATGCTGTTGCACGTGAAACTGGAATTGACCGAATGACATTGAAGCGATATGTTCGGAAGAGTAGTCTCAGTCCAAGTGTAGGTTTGATACCGAATTGGAATACAAGGCAGGTATTCAATTTAGAACAAGAAGAGATGCTTGCAAAGTATTTGCTGCAAGCATCTAAGATGAACTATGGACTATCCACCAAAACAACTCGCCAGTTCGCATATGATATGGCCGTTGCGAATAATATAACATGCCCATCTTCATGGTCAATGAAAAAAACTGCTGGTATTGATTGGCTCCAGGGTTTTATGAAAAGAAGACCCGAGTTGTCACTACGTGCACCTGAAGCGACTAGTCTGGCAAGAGCAATTGCATTCAATAAATATAATGTCAGTGAATTCTTCAAAAATCTTCACAAGGTTCGTGCAAGGCATAACTTTGGTCCGGAGAACATATACAATGTAGATGAAACTGGACTCACAACTGTGCAAAAGCCTGTTAAAGTTATAGGCCCAAGTCTGGACTACGACTGTTCTGCATTAAAAAATAATGACTATGTTGTAGTAAAATTTAAAACTAAAAAGAAAGTTATTCATTACATTGACAAATAATATCGGAAGCTGGAGATTTAATGGTAAAATACTTGAAAAGGGAAAAGATGTCATCATTCAACTTTATCTGTAGAAATGATGAATTATATCAATTTATAAAAGAGGACATTGTTTGTAAAGTTCCAGATCCAATTCAGCATGGTGGGACTGCTCGAGTCAGTCGTCACTTGGTTTTTCCCGTTGATTTGACAATTTTTAAAGATCTTAATTAATGTTAATTTTTATTAAAAATTATGAATTATTATATCCAATGTGTTTTAACGAGTTTTTTGGAGGCAAATGAACATCAAATCATATTGATTTATACCTAGGATCAATGTACCCCATGGGAGGGATCATGGTACCCCGTATATGGGGTGCTTTGATCCTTTGTAGGGGTTGTACCAAAGTTAAATTTTTTTAAAAATTTCTTGTCTTATACAATTGAAACTGAACTTAATACATTAAATGAATGTTCCTCTGTAAATTGCACAAATATTAATATTCACTTTTTGGTTAGTTTCACTGTTGTTACAAAAAAACCTCAAAACAGATCAATGTGCCCCCATCTCCCCTACATTCAGTAAATGCGTGCAGTCGGATCTCAACCACAAACGTTCCAACTGTGGTGCTTTAACAGACAATCTTTCAACTAGATATGTAGATGTCACTCCGTTAACAATTTTGAACATCATTACAATCAATTTATAAGTTATTCTTTTATCTATTGAAAGTCAATGGAGCTCACCTAGTATTGGCGTAATATGTTCGAATTTGAAGCCTCCAACAATAAGCTTAGCAGTCCTGTTCTGGGTTGACTGCAATTTAGAAATTAATTTTTTTGTTACACCATAAAAAAGACTATTGCAAGTCTAGTCTTGAATGAATGAATGCATGAGCTAGACTTTATAAAGTTGTTTCATTTAATGAACGTCTGATTGATCATGATATTTTGTTACATAAACTCAACCATTATGGGATTCGGGTATTACAAATCAATGGTTTGAGAGTTATATCTCGGGTAGAAAGCAACATGTTTTTGTGAATGATGTTAAAGCTGGGACGCGTGAAGTTCCAAGTGGAGAGGGGATAGTCCGAACGGGCTTGGTCGTCACATTGATGCAGGAAGTCAGAAGTATATGACTTTAATAAATATGACACATATAGATTGACATTGTTCAGGTTGGTGGGAGTGTGAGGGATGGTAATACGGCGTTGTTTGGTTTCCTGCGCGTCTAACATGAGAACTGATTGGTCAAACCCTATAAGCGTGTCAATCGTCTACTGTGGGTGAACCCAACGGTGGGACTGGGCCGCCACAGGGGGAAATAAATTAAATTAGCAACAGAGGCGTACCGGGCGTCTGACGTGGGTGAACCTTTTGATGGAGGCTTGGTCGCCAAAGAGGAAATAAATATAGAGGTCATAATAAAAATGAAAAAAATTTTCGGAGGCTCGTAGAGCGTCTATCGTGGGCGAACTTCATGGTGGAAGCTCGGTAGCCAAAGGGAAAGTGTGGTGTCGAGCGTCAATCGTGGGTGAACCCCATGATGGAGGTTCAGTCGCCAAAGAGGAAATATATAGCAGTCACAATAAAGAGAAACCTCAGAGGCGTATGGAGCGGCTATTGTAGGCGGACACAACGATGCAGCCCAGGTCGCCAAAGAGGAGATAATCACAATAAAGAGAATCTTCAGAGGCGTGTAGGGTGTCTATTAATGGCAAACCGCATGTTGGAGGCCCTGTCGCCAAAAGGTATCTTTCAAAATAAAAAATCCTCAGGCGTGCCAAGTATTCATCGTTGGTGAACCCCATAGTTCCCATAGTATAAAAAAGATATTAAGTGGAAGCAAGCAATAATTACATTACGGTTCCCAATTCCCAATATATGCGCAGAGCGGGAGTCGGATGGTGGGCTTGGACGGTCCTTTTGCACTGCGTCGGTATGGATGATGTCAGTCTGTGGGCCTTTTAAACGATACGATTAGCCAGGTAAGGGTTTTACGTATATATGGAATTGGCCCTGCGTCAATGCTTAGATGGGCTTAGTCGGGATTTTCCCTGTCGGTGGTGATGGCTCTAGACATACTTAAGGATAATCAAACTTGAAACTAAATAAATGGACTAACAAATTGATAAATGATTGAAAATGATAGCAAGTATTAATTAACTGACAATAATTTTAAAATATACAGAATAAGCTAACCTCGATGAGGCACATCATAGCACCATTATGGGAGCTTCAAAGCCTTTAAATTAGAACAAACAAACAGACAGATAAACAAATAGCTTGTTTGAGTTCCTCACCGTCGTTCATTTTGTGCTCGTTGTTCTGCCGATGTTATTTAAATTATTAAATTAAAAATTTATTTAATTCTTCTCTTATAATTCTTCTGATTATAATTATATTGTAAATAAATTGCTCTCTAGTATTGCTATCTTCTAATTTAAAACATGAGATTAAGACGACCGATTTAGGTTGCCTTTTCGCGGGCGCGGTGCGGACGCGGTGCGGATAATGAGCAGTGCGGATGCGCGGGTGAACTCCGCGATTGCGGGCGGTTGCTGACGTTAACTCTGAAGATGCGGTTTAGAAAAATCTTCTCTGGTTGGAGCTCTAATTCAAATGACGTTCAACAAAGTTTGAATTTGAAGCAGTTGTGTTCATCGGAAATCTTGAACCTTCGGAATTACGAACACTTGACGACCATTGTAAGCTACAACACAAGCTACAATAATGGTGTCGGAAATATAGAAATCTTTGAAATTATAACATTGGTGTTGGTAGTTACGAATGTCAAGAGTTACAACAATATTATTTATCCAAAACCCTTCCTTTCTACCCTAATTTTTTTTGGCTACGCTACAAAATGCCAAAAACTTTAAAAAAGTAAAATTTACAACAACCAAATAACAATATAGAAATGAAAACGCTTCCAGGTAATAAATATAATGGTTTTACAAAATCATTGCTGAAAACAAACCAAAAATAATCTTTACTTTGTTTTACCATATTATATTATCTTTGTCCACATCGATTGTCGAGTGAGTGCTTCTTGAAAAAATAACAAACGCTATGGGCTCGCTATTGTGAGATTTCTGGTACGAAAGTGTGTTTCTGCCTGCGCGAACAATGGCGATGCGAGCAACACTGACTTGATCTTATTTTATTTGGATAGTTTTTTAACTAACGCTGCGCTGGTTCAGGTGAACTATTTTCCATCATCTTCCGTTTTGCTCATTTCAATTATTTTTATAAATTTTTAATTAATTTTATTTTTTTTGTAATGAGTAATAATGCAAAACATCGCGACATCACAAAATAGAATGGTTTTTAAATATATATTATAAAATAAAATAGTAGCTGACTAACCTTATCAGTAAATGAGTAACAGTTGAGTAAGTGGATGTAAAATATCTATTTGGCAAGATAAAAATACTTTTCTGCCAGGTTTGTGAAGTTGACAAGGATTTCATAGTAGCCAAGGATTTCATAGTAGCCAAGGATTTCAATATAAAAAATAAACTCAAATTACTCGCAAAGTAATAAAATAATGTCAGGCCTGTGCAATTTTTAGGGTTTATCAACTACATATCTAAGTCATTTGGTGAAAATTTGAAAAAATCTGAAGCTTAGTTTTTGTTAAAATATTGTTGATTATAACATATATTATGTGTTAAATTTAAAATAATATTATTATTCAATATTAATTATTAATTATATATATAATAAATAATAGATTATATGTTAAAATGATTGTTGATTATATATTTGAAATTTTTTTACAAAAATTACGCTTCAGAAATGAATAAAATTTGCACCATACACACATGAATTTGTGATTAATGAACCTTGAAAATTTCACAGGCCCTCTTGATGATTAGTTACATTTTTATTCACAAAAAACCATTTTTATGATTATTGGCATTAAAGTTTCTTTTAACAAATATTATGCATGCAATTTCTTTTAAATTTTTACCAAAGGTACTTAGATATGTTTTTATTAAACCAGAAAATTTTACACACCTTTTTCTGCCTACGGTGCAATTAGTATTTGTAAGATATGTATTGAGTGAGAGTATAAAATTAAACAAATAAAAAGCGAACTTGTTTAATTAATAAAAAAATTATGGGCGTAATTTTTTTGTTATTTTTGCGTAACTTTTATTTAATTTAAATTTAAAAAAGTATATTAACAACCATTACTTCCCTAACCAGTAAGTGTTGTGTATGAAAGTATATTTTCATGTCTACCAATTTCAACAAAGTTCATAGTAGGTGCATGAAATTAGCCAAGGTTTTCAATATTTCAAGGATTTCAGAGCCAAGCCAAGGATTTTAATATAAGCACTAAATTATAAAACCCAAATAACTTGAAAAGCAATAATCTAGGGCTTGTGAAATTTTCAGGGTTTATTAACAAGGTATATATAACTGAAAATTGTACATAACTGAAAATTTAAAAAAATCTGAAACCTAGTTTTTGTCAAAACAATTTTTAAAGTTTAATGCCAAGCATAACGGCTTTGTTTGTTTATAAAAATTTAACTAATCATTTAGGCTCTAATCATCTAGGCTCTAGCTAGGGCCTGTAGAAATTTCAGTGTTTATTTAATCACAAAACCATGTGTATATGGTGCAAATTTCATTAACTTCTGAAGAGTAGTTATTTTTTGTAAAATATTTTCAAAGATTTTTTGCAAAAAACATAAATGGTTTTTATTGAATAAAGGGTTAACTAATCGTCTAGGGCATGTCAGTTTTCAAGGTTATACGTTTATATTGAAATTCTTGGATTACTTCATGTACCTCATAAATGCTTTCATGCCTACCATGCATAGGGATAAGCTTTACAGTAATTTCAGCATAAAACTATGAATCTGACTTTTTATAAACATTTCCATTGTTATTATGCCATTTTATTTCGTTTTAAATGTGCTTAATTAAATCTATATTATTCTAAGTATATGAGATTAATATTCCGATTTTTATTATTTTTAATAATTTAATCTAAATTCACTTTTAAGTTTAGTTATACTCTCACTTCATGCTTATCTTACAAAATTAATTGCAAGGTAGGCAGAGAAGTATACTTTTGCCAGCTACTTATCTTATTATAATCAAAATATTACTCACAATATGTGTATGATCCTGAATAGTTTCAAATTAAAATAATGCAACTATATCACAAAATATGCTGGCTGACCAGTTTGATAATAAGGCTCACCCTGAACCTTAGAAACTGATAAGTTTATGTTTTTGGGATAAATTTGACTCAAAAAATTACATAGATTTTTTATTTAAAAATTGTAAATAAAGGTAGTTTTCATTTGTTGTAAATGAAGTTTGTTTTTCTTAAGGAAATTATAAAGTGATTGAAAATTAAAATTAATGAACCATTTATTTTTAGATAGATTGGTGAAGTCGAATCATGGGTGGAGTTTATTCTCAAGGAAATCGTGTTGAGGAAGATGTTATCATAGACAGGAAGCTAATTGAGAAAGATGAAAAGTGCAATGATGTGTCAACTAATAGCCAGATTCATAATAATTGCTGCTTTCAACCATTTCATTGTCTTTGTTTCAGCAGACCAAAACGAAAAAATTATCGATTGGAGGTTGACACAAATGAATATGTTCATGTGTTTGAAAATGCATGCAAAGTGAATATTAAAAGTGCTGAGGATGAACAAAATGCTGAGATGTATGAAAAGAATCAAATTCTATTGCAATCTAAAATTCAGGGCAGTTCTCCGGAAATTAAATTACAAAAATCGTTTAGTGATTATGACAATTTTAAACTTTTCAAAAATGAAAATTATGATGGTAAATTCAACTTAAATAAACAAAATAATACCCTAAACAATGCTAAGTGTGGTCGTAGTGTTTCTTTAAGGTCATTTTGCAAACTACACAACAGTATAAAAACCAACGACGTGCATTGTAAGTTACTTTCTGAATCTGAGAACAGAGGCAAGCGATCGGCCATGAAGTTCATTTCAATACCTGACTACCTAGCTCAAGTGAATAACAGTTTTAGAGAAAATTTTTTGAGTAAGGTCTGTGATAACAATATTGACCACGGAAGATGTTCCTCAGAGAGACAGGCTAACATCTCTAATGTCAGTTCGTTTGATTATTTTGAAAAAAGTGCTTTTCATCAAACTATTCCACTTTTGAAGCAACCTAATCCTCCATCGTCTATACTCTATGAAGAAATCTATATTGATGATATAGATTCTCCTTGTATTAATCACAATGCACCCCTAGCCAGTATGGATACTATTGACATTGGTAATTCTAGAGATAGTCTGGATGAATATGCTTCTCAGTCGTCTAAAGACATTTGCGCTAGTGTCCATGCCGATTGCAATTTCAAGTTAATTAATAAAAGTGGCATCTTGTCAAATTCAGAAAATCCTTTAAATTGCAATAATCAGCATCGTTCAAACATAAAAAAACTTCCTAATAGAATCAAGCATTCTCTTGACTTGCATCAAAAATGTCCACTGAGAAATAATTCTCTTCCTCTGAAACCGATAGCCACAACTGCAGCGACTGTGTCTGCCAAATCATTTCAGTACCAACCACAAAAACGGAAGCAGTTATTTTACTCCATGGTCTTCAATAGGCAGCTTTCCATTCCCGAACATGAAGGAACGGCCAGGATGGAAGATGTCTCCCTATCTTCAATCAATCAAATGTAGGTACCTTCTTAAATGTCTTTTAGTTATTTTAGTTACGTTATAACTTTGTCAACTCAGAAATTTTATATATCTAACATTACTTAAAATTTTTAAAGCGTTTGTTTTATTTAAAATTCTATTAATAATAATTAGTTATTGGTCGGAATCAATTTGATTGGGCAGGTCAGTTACGTCAGAAACCATCTTCAATGACATAAATTTCAACAGTGACAGTATTAATGGCAACTACGACAGTATGAACAACATCACATGCGGCAACACAACAGCATACAGCGATGCCAACAATGTTGGTGTCGTCAGCGACAGCAGTAATAACCTTGTTAGCAAAACAAGTGATAGCAATTATGCTGAAGATTACATTTTATTGGATGTTGAAACGTACATCAGCTTGTTAGATGAATTACAGAACTGCAGAAGTACTTTGGTTCAATTGCAACAGTACCTTCTGAGTGATTTACAAGTCTGAATTATTGTTAATTCTAATCATTATTTTTATTACGACTACTGTAAAAATTATTATTATTGATATTACGCTTGTACTGTTAACATGTGATGACGTTGAATGTTTCACCCAGTCTGATTATTTTAAATCTCAATTTTTTAGTCCTTTTTTTAAATTTCTTTTTATCATTTATTCGGTGGTGTTAATGCTTTTCATGATATTTCATATAAAAAATTTCGCTTCAAAATTGACGCCTCTTAAGTTTTTTTTTCATTTAATTTTTTCGATGTTTTGACAGGGTTTAATAGAAATTACTGTAACATTTAAAGACATAGAATTTGTTGTATTCATTGGTTGCTATGGATCTTTCTTTATTAAATTTTTCGTTTTCCCTAGGTAAGAGCTATATAAAGACTGATTAAATTATGGCTCATCATCCAATTATTACATACATAAAATAGTGAAATAAATTTCGTACACTTCTTAATTATATGTAACTAATTTATTTATGAACAGTTTTTCATGGTATATTCAATTCTGCATTATATTTTTGCACCTTATTTTTTTTTTAATGTTTTTACCTTGTTTTTATGGAGTTTATTTCAGATAATTTATCTTTTATAATGAAATTATTTTGCGTTACGCTGCCTTCTTCGTTTTCAGTCACACATTTTTTGTTTGGAATTATATCCATCATTTATCACTTTAATAATTTGGATCAGTATTACATTGTGACATTTTGTTTTAAGTCATTCATTTGTAATCATTATATGTCCCTGATATAGTAAATATTTTTGCTGTCATTATGTGTGTTTCCATTTCAGTGTTTTTTAAATATGTTTTTTATCCTAATGATGTGTTTCTTAGAATTTTTTCAACAGTTTCCAAGTTTGATGCTACTGAGTTAAGAATACATTTCCATTGTGTTACATATCCCTAAAGCTTTAATGTTTGGAAATCTAAATATCTGCGTTCTTGGGTGTGTGTGTGTGTGTGTGCGTGTGTGTGCATGCATTTTTTTTATCTGTTTGTAGGTAAATTTAAATAATTTATGGCCCACTGAACTTGAGATATTTTGTCATTGGTTGCAAACCCTTTGCTTATGCTCCATTTCTTTCTGCAAATATTTTCAACACGCGGGTGGCCTAGTTTTAATTCAGCTTTCTCAATTTCTTATTTTTTTCTTATCATCTTTTTACTTCTCAACACGGTACTGCCACCCTTTTCTTCATACCACACCTCAAAATACCACCCCACACACTCAAATATCCAACTTCAGAGCTCAGTTCATATCTCAAATACTTAAACATTCTGTCTTCTGTTACTTCTAAACTATTGCCTCGTGTACTGCAGCGCATACATTTATAACTTTGCCATTGCATTATACAGGTTTGACTATGGTTTGAGCCTGTATCCTTTTATCCTGTATCCTTGTATCATTTATGCATATGCTTGGTGGGGTAAGCAAGTTTGTACGTCTGTTCACTTCCTTTTGCATTGTCATACCGATGTGCAAACAAGATGATGAATGCAAGAAGTATAATATTATGTTTTGTTCTTATATATAAAATACTTATTTATTTATTTACATATAATATAACTCATCCTTGAGGTTGTAGGAGAAGTGATTATCACAAATTTATATAATTTAAAAATGTTAAAACATTTCAGATGGTCTTTACAGAACTGTTGGATGTATTTTGAACTGTTACTTAACTTTCTTGGTTACCTAATTATTTTGTGTTTATCTCAGTTCCCATAAAATTGTTTTGGTTTGATTTAATTTAATCGACTGATAGCTTGATTTTTATTGCATCTTATTTAATAAAATTCATTTCTAAACGATGTTCTTAATTTAAATTTATCATTTCAGAAGTTAACTTCAATTTAAAAAAAAACTTGCTGAAAATGTTGAATTTTGTTTATTTTTCATCAATAAAAATGAATGACAATATAACATAAAATAAGAATAGTTAACAAAGGCACAAAGTTTTGTGTACACAAATTGTATCTCCTCTCTCTGTCTCTCTCTCTCTCTCTCTCTATATATATATATATATATATATATATGTAAACAGTTGTGATGTATAAAATACGTATAGGTAACTAAATACATACATACGGCATACGCATATCTCACATGTATTTTTATAAAAATTTACATATCTTCACATAGGTATGATAAAGATATAACAATTTTGATTACGCTGTAACTGCAAATAGTAAATACATTGAATAAATACACAGACATCATCATGGTTTAGAGTATTAAAATGGTACTTTATTATTATTTTTGTTATTATGACAAGAAATAATACTGTGCCGAAGTTTAAAATCTAATTTATCTTTATATGTTGAAATATCAAACAAATAGCTTCAAATAGAGTCTCTGAAATGAAATTTCTAGAACGAAGAAAAAAAGTTTACAAGCCGTAAACGCAGGCAGAACATTTGTTTCCTCTGAAAAATATAAGATAGCATGTTCAGGCTAAACTAAAAAAAAATCTGAAAACATGCTGAACTAGATTATTTTTGTTGAAAAACATCGACTGCTATCATTAAAAAAAGAGTTACTTTTGTATTTATTATGTTGGATTTGATTAATATTTTCACATAACTGATTCTCTTTAACTTTGTAAGTTCAAATTATTCACAACTAGAGTTATAGAAAAAGAAGGACTAGATGGGAAATTAATGAAATGACACTTAAGAATACTTTCTAAAATAATAAAATTTTGACATATAGCAAGTCTATAATTGCTTAAAATGTTGCATACATCCATGCAATTACATTCATTTGTCTCATGAACAAAAGACGCATGAAAGTGCAACATAATGTAGAAAAGATAAGGACAGATTATGCATCTGAAAACTAAAGTTAATGTCACCACTTGTGCACACAGCAAAATATAAGTTGAATTCAGATGCTAATAAAGACAATTGATGTAATAGTAGAAAAAAATGTCATTAGTCATGGTCATGACATCAGTGCATAAAAAACAGAAGTCAGTACCAAAAATACAAAGAACGACTTAATGGTTATGAATAGAAATGAAATCAATCAATCAATAACTTGGCACATTTATAAATACTTCATTTAGTCAATAATAGTGACAACATACACCTATAGAGATAACACATTCATAAGCATATTATATTTAATGAATTGCAGAGGCCCATATTCACGTAGTGGCATGAATTTACACTGGTTGCCAGATGGAATAGAAATGTTGTTTAAATTACCACAAGCTATAAACTGAACGCAATCTTTTTTCCTATTGGAGCATAGTTGACACGGAGGAGATCCTAGAATTCCAAAATTTAGCTTTGGCAGATTTGGTAAGCTAGAGTTACTATAAATGGTTTAGAACAATCGGCTGGGCCAAAAAGAGGACAAGTAGGGCGATGGGAAACAGACGCAAAGGAAGGCATGTTCCTGTGGGGTGCATATGTAAGTCTGTAAAGAAAGAGTTTCTATGTTTGAAATTTGTTCAGTTTCACCATTACCTTACAGACTGAAAACTTTTTAGGCAAACTATTTCATTAGGCGAGATTTTGCCACTAAAATAAATTTAAGTAAAAGAAAATAAATCAATCTGAGTGAGATTTCTTAATAAGTAAAAAATATGAAAAAACCACACGTGCTGTATTTGTACAGCGCAGCATATATTCACAACCACACACACACACACGCACACGCACGCACACATATATATAGTTAACAAATGCAAAATGCATATACAACAACACAAATGCAAAGCATTTGAAAACAAACAAAACTGAAAAGCATAAAGCACGTAACAGAAAATAAATATTACAATTGAAAAATAAAATTTACTTGAATGTAAATGCAATTAATTTTCATGACATGATTTTTTTACTGATTACTATTATTCAAGTTGAATTCTTGCAAAAAGGTATGCAGATGTGTTTGTGTTACTTTTGTATACATTAATGTATGGTGGTATGTGTAGACCTACTTCAATGAAAGATAAGCTAAGCACATACCTTCATACACGAGGTATGTAATGAATTTCCCTGAAAAATTTATTGAATACAATTGATTTCGGTTAGAAAAAGTTGTACTTCAGATGAAGTTAATTACTTTGGCAAAGTTTTTCTTGCTAAATGTTGAAGTGAATTTTTGTTTGTGATGCAAAGTTGTCAGTGAGTACGCCAGTTGTGAAAAAATGTTTGTACTGCAGTCTGGTGACTTGTTGTAAATGTTCTTTCCTAGGTTAAAATTATTATCTATGTTGCTTCTTAGATAAATTCGATGAGTGAGAATTTAATGTTGTCATTTTACTTTGTGTTGTTTTGTGTGGCACTGTCGTTTTTAGTTGTGTTGTTGCTGAGTTGTGAATTGTTGTTGCTGAGTTGTGAATTGTTGGTATTTCTTTCATTGGTGATGATGTTTTCAAATTTGTAGATTTTGCTGGCTGAGTTGATTTTTGTTGTTTTGTGGCAACATTTTGATGAATAATTGACTTCTGCTTTGTTGCCTTAAATGATTGTGCTGTATGTTGATCTTTTGAATGTTGGTGTGTTGTATGTTGGTGTGTTGATTGTTGATGTGTTGATTGTTGATGTGTTGACTGTTGATGTGTTGACTGTTGATGTGTTGACTGTTTATGTGTTGATTGTTGTTGTGTTGACTGTTGCTGTGTTGATTGTTGATGTGTTGACTGTTGAGTCGACGTTGCAATTTTGTTGGCAGCAGTTAGTACTTGAATGGACGGATTTTTAGAGCTGCTCATTTTGACGTCATGTTTCGTCCCACAGCTGGTGTTTGCTGTAGACAAGTCATTATGAAACATTTGTGAGGTTACGTGGTTGCTATCAGCGTTGTTGCTGTTGTCAGCTGGGCTCCAATTCTTGATATTGCCATTTAATGATTTATTTTGTAGTGATGAAGCGAGATTTAAATGAGCTGAATTTATATTAACATCAGACAACGACTGAGCCAAGATGTCATTAATGTCACTGCTGAAACAGGCTTGAAAATTTTTGTTAAATAAGTTCAAATTGTCATTTTTGTGTTGAGATTGCTTGTTGAAACTCTGAGAGATGTTGTTGACAGCCTGTGAACCGGAAGTGATGGATGGCGTGGAAGACACATCATCGCTATTCAATAAACATGCTGACGTGTTTGTAGGAACAACATTGGAAAATTTATTTGAACATCCACTGGAAGACATCAGAGCTTCATTCAAGAGTTTCGGCTTGAATGACACATTTCTCATGTAACACGACGATGCTGATGACGACAGTGAGGATGGTGTTGAAGATGATGAGGATATGTTCGGTGTTACTGGAGATTTAATGTCATCATGTAGCACATTCAAGTTCACTGAATCAAAGTCCTGGCCATTAAAAGCACTTCTATCCAAATGAACAACACTACTGAGGCTCTGGTTTACATCAAATGGATTTTTAGAAAATGTTCTTTGGTCGGCACCGTCGTGATTGCCTGACGAGTTGGCAGTGCTCTGAAGGTTGTTGTTGAAGTTGACGCTCACAAGATTTTGTTGCAAGCACTTTTGTGGGTCAGGCAACAATCTTTTGGGCTTTGTCGGCTTGTTTTCACAATTCTTTTTCTGAAGGCCATTGAATTCAATAAATATTCTTACATCAAGAAGTAGTTTAATTTAAAACAATTAAAAGCTAGGCCAGCTGTTTATGATACTAGCAACACAACAATTGTTTCAATTTATAAATAAAAAAAAGGAAATATAAATATAAATAAATAATGGGCTTAAACGTTAGTTATATATTTCCATATCAAAATAGCATTAAAAGACAACAAAAAGCAATCAAACAACAATGTCAATTTTATGATCATAGAGAAAATCTTTGTTGGCCATATATAAGTCAAAATTGTTCTTGAAGTTGGAAACAGTATCTGATGATTCAACAACGCATGTCGGTAAATTGTTCCAAATAGAAACAAAGCAGAAACAGATGAACAAGTGACAATACGCAAACACATACTTCATCTATTTCATCATTCTTCATCATCTCCATCATCTCATCAGGGAAGGAATCATTGAAGCCATCGTGAGTGAAGAGAGGGTGTAGGAGCAAGTGGGAGCAGGTTGGTCGATCCTGAGGGTCCAGCTCGAGGCAGGCCTGTTTCATCAGTTCGTTCACTTACAATCAATAGCATCGCTCACCATCCATACTAACAGGTGTTTCAAATTTATTTGTAAATGCAAAAATTAAAAAACTTTAAAAGAAAGTTAATTTAAATACATTAAGTTTCTTGTAGAAATCAAATAAATGATGCCATTTGTCGAAGTTTTTAATGAGTCAAAATAAAAATTTATTAGTAACAAATTTTTTATTTTTTGATTGCAAAACCTCAACTTTTGTCAAAAACATAATTTCCTTTCCATATATGTTTCAAAGTTCAGTCACAAATCTTTGTTGAATGTCTTTAGCAACATTTTTATTTATCAGAAGATGTCCAGTGACTCTTCCTTCTGTTCCAACTTTCAATAACCAACCCACTGTCTCGCTCATCAAATAATTTCTTTGATGCCAGCTTACTTTCATCCAGTCAGCCAAGTTCTTTCTTACATTTTCTTACCCCTTCATTGAAATTTCGTCTTCCCTAACTCTTTTTAGGACACTTACGACAATGTCACACCCATCCCCATCGTAAATGCTAAGTGGTTTAATGAAGGATTCTTTAAAAAAAGCAAAAACTGCTGCTTAATAATGGTTTTTTTCTTTATAGAAATGGATTTTAAAAACAACTTCAGTCCTTTTCAATGGCACCAGTTTCTAACTGGTAAAAAGTTATCTGCTAAAAAAATAAAATCCTAAAAATATTTCCAGAGAAAATTAATAAACTCAAAAAATGAATATGTACGTAAAAACAAAGTAAATAAATAGAAAAGAAACCCACAGAAATGAATTGATATTCAAGTCCATTGCATCCATGCACCTTGGCATGGAGTGGTTGGGTCACTTGAATTTGAGTTATCTCAAACCTGAATGCAGAGTTGTTGTTCAGCCTATCTTCATGTCTGCGACACAAACCCCCTGTGTTATCAAGTATTGATCGATTGATTTGGATTGATTAAGCAAAAATAGATTAAAAAGGATGTGGTTTCAATCTTGAAGTCTTAGTAAGAGTCTAGTCCCATCAACAGGAGACCTGATTAGCTGGCTGCTACAGCATACACAAACACATGCAGGGTAAGTAATTATATGCAAATACATGTAGGTTTTAAGTAACTTATATAATAGAGGATGTGTATTTTGGAACATCAAATAATGAACAACAACTTGCCAAAGCATTTTAGAATGTTGAAGAGTTGATCGAGGTCTGAATCGCCTGGAAACAAAGGCTGGCCAGTCAGCATCTCAGCATGCAAACAACCTAGAGCCCAAATATCCACTGCTCTGATGGTCCAACGAACATTTGTTTTATATCATAAAATTTCACATAATTAATAAAATTTATGAACAAGTTAATACTTTCAAACATCATTATAACTGAAATCTTTTCAAAAAGTATAATTATGAAAAAAGGAGTCGTTTAATGGTAAAAATACAGAAGCTAATGATAGCAAATAACTTCACTAAAAACATTAGCATAGCAACACCAAAGACATGTACCTGCCATATCGGGAATCACCAACCAGCAGCTCGGGGGCTCGGTACCACCTCGTTGCCACATATTCTGTGTACGCCTCTCCAGGCTTGGCTATGATGCGAGCGAATCCAAAATCACACAATTTCACGATGCCCCACTTTGTTATCAACACATTTTCAGGTTTTACATCACGATGAATTATCTGTGAATGGAAAGGTTTGAAAGATAAAATTGATAAAATGTTGTTTAATTAAATAAGCCAGTAAAATCCTGATATTATTTTTCATGATATTAATTTTAAAGCATTAAATATGAATGTAAGCTTAAAAATTTAAGTTCTTAATAATGCAAGAGTGTTATAGATATTCACCAACTCCTGCACCCAAATATATATTTTTTACAGTTTTATCCAAATTGACAGGCTGAAGAAATTAAAATTTTTTACTTCTTTTATCAGAATAAAGAAAGATTAAACTGCTTTCAGTCAAGTATGGCAGAGCACAAAAAAAAAACTTTTTTACTCTCTATTCTTACAAATAAACTGTTTCACTTCTCTTTTCTTACAAATAAACATTTCACTTAAAATAAATTTTTAAGTAAATCACCTAACAACAACTAATTTGTGTCTGATAAATTTTTAAAAATAATAACAAACAACTATAAAAATAAATAAAATATCCATTTTTCTATTGAATTAAAGATGAAACAAATAAAAATACTCACATTATGTATATGACAAAATTCAAGTGCCCTGATGACCTGATAGAGAATCCTTTTAATGAAATCCCTATCAAGTCCTCTTGGAGATTGTTCTAAATAGTGGAGTAGGGTTTTGTCAACAAATTCAAAAACCAGATACAAACGTTTCTTTCGCCGAAAAACTTCAATTAAATTCACTAAGTTTTCATGGCGAAGTTGCTGTAAATTTTTTTTGTAATTCCTTAATTAAAATGTGATAAAAATACTTCAAACAAATAATTTCAAACTTAGCAATCAAACTTAGCATGGTTAATGTTTGGGTCGTTATAAGCTACCCAAGAATAAATTTTAGATTCAAACTGAATAGAAATTGTACGTTACTCATAGTTAACAAATAAAGGATGATGGCCTTTATTAAAATTTTTAATAACTACTGTAGCACCATTGTAGTCACAGGGATCAATTAATAATTAATGAAATGGTTTTTTACTTTTCTTATAATTTTTTAAGGTCTTAGGATCTGATGTGCATCTGAAGACGGATATCAATCAGAAAGATAAAAAAAAGCAATTAATTTTCTAATCATGTTTTTCAACAAAACAGTGTACAAAGAAGGGTGTTAAAAATGAAACCTTTAATAAATGTATTTCTCTCATGGCAATCTTCTTCACGGACTTGTCATCCTCACTTTCAATAAACTTTTTAATGGCCACCAACTTTCCACTTAATCTGTCCCTACACTTTAGCACCAGACCGTAACTGCCCTCTCCAATGCTTCCAAGATTCACATACTTGGAAGCAGTGCAGGCAGGTGACACACTAGATGATGAAAATGTTACAGCATTATTATAATTATTATTACAATTGCTGATGTTGTTGTTGCCATCATCATCATCATCATCATCATCATAATCATTATCACTTCTGTCAGGATCAACTGCTGGAATTTTTTTCTGATTATGATAATGATGGCTATAAAAAGAGACTTCTGAATGGCTGGCTAGTTTATTGTTGATGGATGTGATCACTGAATTTTTATGTTTGTGACTAGATGAATTGGAAGTGTATAAATTTTTATTCTGGCTTGTTGGCATCCCTCCTGCTCCCACCAACGAAGGCAATGTTGATGTGGTGGTCATCATCATGTCATGTCATCCTCTTTAATTAAATCATGTGGATATTTCTTGCTCTGGTTCATATTTCAAAAATTCTGCTTTAAAAAACTAAATGAATAAATAAACGGAACTTTACTTTTACAGTTTTACTACATTATTTAATTAATTACAAGTGTTTTTTGTTTATAGTTCTACACTTTTTAACTTCATTTTATTTATAGTCAGTTTTATGCATTATATGTTATTAATTGTATTATCTTATCTGTTATTAATTTAATTATTAAATTAATTAATCCCATATAATATTAGAATAAATAAAATTATCCACACACACACATTCACTCACAGAAATGTTATATCTGACATGACATTTTGTTACTTCATAAATAAATTTTAATAAAACTCTTGATCAATAAAATTAAATATTATTATACATTGTGATTATTTTATTATATTATATATATTCAGAATTAATTTAATATTATTTTGATTAATATTAATTATTATATAAACTACGATCCACTTTTAGTCTGAGAATTTAAACCAAACATTCAACTATTAAAATATTACAATATTACGATACGAACAAATTGAAGAAAATAAATAGAGGTAATATTTTCAAATAAATTTCACAAACAACAAGACAAGGAAAATAAAAGTTAATGATGCTAATGGCGATGATGATGATGCTGGGATCATGTTAATGATGGCCAGCACAGCAGCCAGCTAGCTTGTTAGTTGTAGTTCACTATTGAGGGATGGATGGATTGGATAAATATATGATAATAATAATACTAATATATTTATTATTATATATTTTTTTCAATTTATTTTTTGAGTTGTTTTACATTTTTTGGTTAATTTGTATGGGGTCATATATATATATATATATATATATATATATAATATATAGGCTATATATATATATATTCTAAATATGTGTATGGGGTTAGTTATTATTTAAATTTATTTCCTAACTTGTGTGCTTCTGTGTAATTTAAGGAATTTGACTTGTTCAATTTAAACAAATAGCTCAAGTCGCGTTTTTGCGATGTTATCAAACAAGCTAGCAAAACTTTTTAAAATTTGTAATTATTCACAATCTATTCGAAAGAATTACATTTAGTCTTATTTATTACATTTATTCTATATATATGGTTGCACCATAAATGTTTTAAAGTAGCTACTACTCAAGTGTGTTGAATTTGAATAAATTTACATTATATGGTGAAGCAAATAAGCTTTAAAACGGAGGTGGTGTAGGTCTGTAGACATCCAAATCAACGTATTTGTAAATGATATCGCATGAAAACTAAAATTCGATTGGAGCCACCAATTTATTTTTCGAGTTGACAACCAAATAAAATGTTCCACTGACTACTTCTGCTTTTTGTGGTTCATGGTTAACGTTGATGGTCACATTCGAAAAATCTTTCATTAAAAAATTTTTAATTTCGGAGGCGGCCTGTGGGTTATAAAAAGAGTAGAATGCTTATCTTTGGCCTCATCTTCATTGTTGATTCATTAATTTTCGAATGAAAAGTCACCATGTTAGGATTCAAGTTTCCCCCGTTCAACATTTTCAGGTTGGGCACTTGAGAGGTAAAAATTTACGAATGATTTTTAAATTGTATTTATTATTTAGTTTTTTCAACTTAACTTTTATACAAATTTTTAAAATATCAAAAACGCCTGTAAAAACTACCAAAAAATGTCGTCTAATTAATTTCTTTAAAACGTTACCGTATTTAACAACGTACGAATTGTTCAGTATGACATCATTTTCTTTTTTCTGAGAGATGCTGATCCAATCTTTATTTTCCTTTTCATTAGGTTGGTCACTATCTTTCAGTATCTGTTTGCAAATATAATGTTATATAGATATACAAGTGACATTTTTACAAGATTCATTCATCTTACCGTAAACCCTTGAAGCATTTCTGAGCTCCGTCTATTTTCCAAAAATCATCGTAGTTCTTGAAGGGCTTTGATAATAAAATTTCGAAATATATAAACTCGTAGAATGGTTNTTATTCGGTAAGTTCCGAAAGGTATTCAGTTCTCCGAAACACTTACTTTTTGGTTTGTGGTCATGGTATTTTATAAAAAAAATTAACATATAATTTACAAACTGAAATCTTCATTACCTTCACAACATATTTAGCAGGAAGAGGGAAGGTTTCGATCTTGTACATGTACTGGCTCTGAAAATCTGCATCCTGAATAACTTTTATTATTGAAAATGGTTTTTAAATATTTTAAGAAATCTTTGCAAAGTTTTATTGTCATATTTTATTTTCTCATGTATAAAACAAATTAAAAAATATTTAAAACAAATCATTTAAACATTGAAACTTGTTATCAAAAACAAACAAACTGAATACAAACAAAGAATTACAGCCAAGAAAAATATTAAACGATGTTGCACGCTGTTGAACATTTTGCAGACTTTTCAAGTTGGCAAATGAAGTATTCGTGATAAACGCATTCAAGTACTTATCGATTTTATTTTAAACCTCGTGTCTTTAAAGAGAAATCGTGAACGAGGTATTGATAGACTTCGACACCTAAAATGTTTCAATTTAATTCGCTTATTCTTAGTTGAGAAGCTATAAAGCAGGTTGTCAGCGAACGTACAAATCAAGATGTATACATTTCTAACATGGTTATTGGATTTGCGACGAGTTCGTTTTCGAAGAAAATTCTGAAAACATGCACCTGTCCTTAGCGCTATGTATAATCTTCAAGGTTGTGTGTTTGCATAAAACAAACAAATGCAAGTATGCATCTGCCAAAAAAGGTTATGAAATTTTATGCATTGTTCAAATAATAACAATAATTTGAATTCAATATTATCATTAATTTAAATTCACACAAAAATGTCGACGCCAGAATTGCTTTAGTGAATAAATGAATACATAATTATGTAATGTATATACTTATCTCAATATAATAATAATACACGAATGCATAGTCCTTGTTCTTAAATGAATAAATAATTAAATACAACACTTAGGAAATCGGGGTGGAAAAATCTGTCATTTCAAGAATGAAAAAGAGAAGAAGCAAAACAGTGGCGGATTCAGATTTTTGCGCTTGAGTGGAATGATTTTTTGGAACAGTCTTTCTTTTCTTCCCGTTTGCTTTATTATTATTTTTTAAAAAAACTGAATTGCAGATGAAAATATATGCTACTTATAAAATATAACAGTTAATAATAATTTAACAATTAAACTAATAATAAATCAATACTACTTAAAGTTAGTGCATTCTAACGTTATTATAATTCGAAATGGGGTCAGTTAAATTTTTGATAGTTATGGTCTATTCATGAAGTGTATTTTTTCAATCGTTACAGAGGTTTTGTTAATAAATCACTGTTGGTCACTGTTTTGTGACAGAGTATTTTATAATAAAAAAAAACTTAAATCAGAATGCAAAAAATTCAAGCATTTTGTCAGCACTTTTCAACTTTTTATTCGTTTAAATTAAAATTGAACCACCACCACCACACAACGCTTGAATTTTAACTTTTAAAGAGGTACAATATATATATATATATTGTATAAAGGTAATTGAGATTAGATACAAAATATAAAATCGGAAAAAAGTTAATCTTTTATGAATTTTAAAAAAATGTTTATAGAAAGTAGCATCTAAGACTTACTGATTCGTCCATCAGACCGTGATGAAAAGTCATATTACAATATTGAGCGGAACAAAAACACAGATAGGTACTTAAATACACATCAAATGCATGAAACGACTTACAAACGCCTATATAGATTACATACATACATAAAGAGGCGCCAATGGACCAGATGTACATGAGCGATGCAGTGAGAATGTTAACCAACTACTAACAAAACCAACAAAGCCAATAAAACAATTCTTATGGCAGTAAATATTTAGAATTAGAAAGTATCATAACTGAAAGGTGGGAGTGAATAGAAGGCCACTCGATACACCGGCTCGAAAACGACTCGATCGTCGTCGTCTGCAAAGATGAAAAATGCCCTGCTGTTGATCATGTACGGACTGTTCTGCTTCGTTGAGTTGTTTTCGTTGCTGGTGTCGTTCGAGTTGTTCCTTACGATGATGTTGTTGTTAACGATGTGATCGGTGGTGTCGTTGTTGAAGCAGTATGTGATGGGCCAGATAACCTGCTGGCTGTTTGCTACCACGATCTGCACGCAAGTAATTGTGGTTGTTGTTTTACAACGACGAATGCTAGCAACAACAATCTTCCAAATGATGACAAACATGGCACCATAATTAAGAAACAAACCGACTATCGCAGACGAGTTAACAATAATAAAAAGTTTTAATCAACAAATAAATTTTAAATTCACCATCTCGCTGGGAAAGGCTTGTTGCAGCTTACCAATAGCGTTCATGTATGTCTATTTTAAATGAATAAATTAACAGTTGTAACGACTTGCGTTGGCATTTTTTGATTTTTAATAAAAATTTGAATTTAGACAATTTGTTGAAACGACCATGCCGATGAGTGATCCGTTCATCCGTTTCATGTTTGGGACTGCAAGTTAAACAACTCAATGTATTTATCAATGTGAATTATCTGCAAGTAATAAGATGATGTTAACCAACAAGTAAATACAGTTAATAAATTAAATTGAGTGAATGACTGACTGAATGTATAAATGAATGAATAAATAAATTAATATAATAAATAAATGAATGAATGAATAGTAGCGTGTGTGGTTCACCGCCGACTGAGCTGCCGGCAACCGTCAGGAGACCATCTGAGTTACTTTCAAAACAATTTCCGCCAAACATTTTTTCAGAAACAATTCTCAGAACACGAAAATAATTTTAGAAAAAGTTCACCAGAGAACGAGACAGCTGATGATTGGCGATTTACATCAAAATCTAAAAATGATTTTCAATTCATTTGAATAATAAAAAAATCTCGAGAACGTCAACTGACTGAATGAGAGCATGTTTGGGTACTGGACGGTCTTGTTCTGCTCGTCCACCCAGATGACAACTCGGTCTCTTGGATCAAGTTCTGAATCTTTGCTCTCTTCTGGCTTCAACACCACCAACTGTTTCATTGCGATTGGTCTTTATTATTATTCATCATGGGGTAGAAAATTTTATATTTAAAACTATTAAATACTTGTCAATAAATAATAGTTAGTTAATTAATTATTTAATTAATTCTGGAACATTTCGTGTCTTTTGGCATATTTTGCCAGAAAAGTATGCGACTTCATCAGAATCAGATTTTTTGCTGTTGTTAGCCAAGATTGTAATCATTTTCATGATGCACCAATATAGTCACCGTCATTTTTCTCTTCTTTATCATAAACCTCTATATCATAAATACCATCAACGTCACACCAAAATCGTCATCATCACCACATCGTCATCATCATCATCAACATCATCATCATCATCAACATCGTTATTATCATCGTCATCATCACCATCATCGTCATCATCACATCGTCATCATCACCACATCGTCATCATCACAACATCGTCATCATCACCACATCATCATCGTCAATATCGTCATCATCACCACATCGTCATCATCACCTCATAGCTTGGAAGAAAGAGGCGACAATATAACAGCAAATTATTGCAATCCTGTGTGATGTTATTTTCGGAAAATGATGAGGTATGCTAGTTGCGATGATGTCCATTATTCTACGTTACCAATAAATAAATTAATAAATTCATTCATTCGTTAATTAATTAAATAGGTATTTAATGAACAAATAATTGAATTAACGAATAAACGAATGAATAATTCATTACATAAAGATATAAATAAAAACGAATGAATGAGTGAGTGTATAAATGTATGAATGAATGAAAGAATGTATGAATGAATGAAAGAATGTATGTATGAATGAATGAATGAATGAATGAACAAAGAAACAAATGAATAAATGAATGTTAATGGTTGTCGGTAAATTTTTTTTTGATGTTAAATACGCAAGTCTGACAGAAGCGGACGGATCGTTGTTAGCAGCTTAACAGCATAACAAAATTGTAATTGTAACTCTGCTCCATCTAATTGTATAAGTGCATATGGATTTGTATGAATATGAATTTTCCAAGCACAGCCCTCAAGTTAGGGCTCTGTAGCATTGCTGATGTAAAAAGCAGCCAGGCATGGAATTATTGCGGTCCTACAAGTATGAAGGAGATAAGTTGAAGTTGGAGATGAAGGAAGAAGCCAGTTGTTGCAGGAGGAAAAAATTGTTTTCCTTCAAGTGCACGTTTAAATCATTTTCATGACTTTGTAAATATTGAATAGAAATAATTTTAAATTGAAAATATCCAGGTTGTGTGTTGTTATTATTTAAGCCGACGAAGCAAACCTAGCATTAACACGTGAGCCAATAAATATTGTACCTACTGAACAACAACGCAGTAAATAAAATAATAAATCGATAGATAATTTTTTTCTTGTAGCAAGCATGTATATGGCCTCTGAAGAAAGTTGTATCGACATCCTTGGCTGTTTTTAACGTTCATTGATTTTTATGTTTCTTCGAAACCTCGTGATGTCAACTCACTAAGTTGGCCCAAAAAAACAAGCTGAATTTAACTATTATTTCTGTATGAATCAGTGATTTTGGTCAAATAATACGAAAATGATGAATAGGTTGGTTGGATGGTTGGTTGATTGATTGGTTGGATGATTGGTTGGTTGGATAGTTGATTGATTAGTTGGTTGATTGGATGGTTGGTTGGCGGGTTAGTTGGATGGTTGGTTGGATGGTTGGTTGGTACTAACACTTCCGATGGGGTAATTCAAGGTGGTCGTCCTCACTCGGTACTCCTCTGGCACCTGCTTCACCAAGCTGACTGTCGATAGCAGGGCGGCTGATCAAGTTTGTCGGAAGTTAAAAACATTTTATAAAGTTTTTACATAAAATTTGTGATAATTTAACGAAATTAATTAAATTGTAAACATAAACTATCATGTTCTATTAATCCTTCCTTTTACATCTAGCTAAAGTTAGTATGAAAATGTTAAATATTAAGATTGTAATCAAAAATATTAATTAAACTTTCCTGCTAACCAAAAGCTAATGCGGCTATAAACGCGATAGTCCGGCGAATCATTTCTTCAAAAAGTTTTCTTAGGAAGCAGCAGCTAAGTACGTGTGTGAGTTGTTATGTGCTTGCTGATATAAATCTAAAAAGCTAAAATAACTCCTCTGCAAAGCCGGTTGGAAAAACGTGAAATGAAACAGACTTCTGAACTGTGACAAGTTGATTGATGAGTTTTCATCCGAGCACTTCATTGATTGGATGGGACGTCATTTTCATTGGTTGACGTGATGTAAACCCAACGTAGGTTTCTTACTATGCGCAGTGCATTGTGCATGCATGCAAAACAACCGTGTGTTTGTTTGATGTACATGCATGTCATTATAGACTCCTAGTTAACTACTTTGGAGTGCTTGATGTTATATTCAGATTTTCTACTCCTCTACATTCGCATGAATCGTTGTTTGTTTTGTTCAAGTTCTTTCTTTCGGGTTGAAAAATTTTACCAACTTAACATGGGACCTATTGCATCATCATTATTAATAATAATAATGCTGATAATAATAATAATAATAGGCGTGTTTGGGCTTTTGAAAACAAGTAATTACTTAAAATGTTAATGTTTTGAGTATTTCTTAAAGCCTGGTTTGTGGTGTGAAATTGGAATCTTGAGGCCTGCAGCACTGTCCACAAAAAGGAAAGGGTGGCCATTATTTTGATTTGTTTAATGATTTTTTAAATGTTTGTTTTGGAATTCTTTTTGTTTATTTTATCATATTGAAAGTCTTTTTCTAGAATGTCATTCTAGATTCTGGGTCCTCTGCATAGAGCATGAAACTAAATAAACCTAAATATATGTGGCTTGGTGGTGTTCAGCGCAGATTGCAAAATGCAGATGATTTCAAAGAACCAGTTGTTGATCCAGGCGTCGTTCTCAATCTAGGTCTTCCTATGAAAGATCATGTGAAACCTTTCTGTCAACGATCCTTTTACCAGCTTCATAAAATAAGAACAGTCCACAAGAACAGCCTTGAGCAGCCTTGTTTGTACGCAGATTGATTACTGCATTTCAGTTCTGTATGGTGTAAATAAAATCAAATGGTATCCATTCAATCGTTTCTGAAATCTGCCGCTAAACTAAATACTTGAAAAATGAACTTCATTGGCTATCGGTGGAGGGCAGAATATGATTTAAAATAGTTCTCACGGTAAAAAAAATACTGTCCAACTGGAATGGCACGTTCTACTTGAAAGTGATGTTAAATTCAGTTTTGAATGTCAATTTCGATGAAATAGACTGAGATCGAAAAAACCCGTAAATTTTGTTTGTACTCCGTTCAATGCTTCTCATTTGGTGTAAGAAGGTTACCTGTTGCAGCAGCCAAAACTTAGAATTCATTGCCTCTTGATCTAAAAGTTGATACTAACATCAGTCGTGAGGTATTTAGAAACCGCTTGAAATATCATTTTTTTCAACTGAACGAAGCGCACAAGTAGCGCCTCTGAAGATAACTCAAAAGAGGCTCTCTACAAATCTACAATACAACACAACACAATACAATACAATACAGTACAATACAATACACTACAATACACTACAATATGAAATATTTGACTTATTTATATTTCTGTAGTTGATCAACTTTTAAGAGGCTTGAAAAAATCATTTATGATAGAAGAAAGTTTTTTGTGAACTGTTTTCAAACGAAATGTAAACAGCAATACTTGCTGGTTTCGTCAAAGTTATGGTTCTCAGTCAAGTCAAGTAATTGTTGTGTTCGGGTTTGATATGATGGCCTATTGGTTGAGGTCGCCTTTATCGACATATATCTGCAGGTCGGATTTCAATGTTACATCAATGTTGTTTTTAAAATGCTCTGCTTGTCCTGCACTGTTCAATTTATCGTTGAATTCTACAATTTTTATTTGAATCTTACTCAATGGTAGTATATAACTAATTATATATAATATGGTAGTATATAACTAATTATATATAATATAACTATTCCTTTTACTTTATTTCCTTATCAGACAGCTGGCTTACTTTTTTTTGTACTCTACCGTAAACGGATTGTCGCCATTCTGTTTTTTCGAGACTCAGCCCTACTACAGCTTGCCAACAGTTTACGTTCGTCATCTTTTCCACATTTGTACCATTTAACTGCTGTCCTTACACTCATGTTCTTCTATCTTTCCAACAGTGGTGGGAGACTTGCTTCGAATAGTAACACTTCTTTAGTTGAACTACGTAGAACTCTTGATATTAATCTAGCAGATTGGTTTGTGCTAATTTTATTTTTTGTACATGTGACGTCGCCATTCACGGACTTTATGCTGAACACGCACATTCAGCTACGCTGTGTTGTAAGGCAATATAAATTGATCGTAGTGATTTTTCCGCCAACGTCATGTTGTATTACTCAATGCTCTCAATACTGCATTTTTCTTTTCCATTTTTCGTATTGTATTGTAGGTAGATTTGTAAAGCGTCTCTATTGAGTTATCTTCAGAGGCGCTGGTTGTATTATTTGCTTGACATGTTCTCCGTATTTGACACATAGAAAAATTAGGTGTTTTTCAAACCGGATTTGTGTTTCTTTCACTTTCAAAAACCAGTTTGGAAACAATTGCTTGCAGTTTTTCCATTGAATCTGCTATAAGAGCTCTATCATCAGCATCATTGTTAATATTCACTCCTCCAATGGATATTTCAGGTAGATCTATTATCTTTCTCATGATGATCTCACTTTAGAAATTGTACAGGTCTGGGGAAAATACACAACCTTGCTTAACACTTTTCATTATTTTGACAAAACTAGTTTTTTTGTTACCAACTCTTTGGTCCCATATACATTGCATTTGTATTACTGTTTTTAATTTTTCCAATGATTTTACACCTGTCATTAAACCATTTATCTTTTGCTTCTAAACACATATTTTGATTGTTCCGTCTACTTTATTGTCTCTATCAGAATCGCAGCTTTTCACTTTTTTTCGTTCATCCATCAGAGATACGATGTTATCCATTTTTGACCTCTTTGCTTTTTCACAAGTATAACTTCACTTGCTGATTCTATGAGGGCATCTCTAAATATTTCGTATCTAGATTTATTTACGTCTTCCGTCAATAACTGAAAACGATTCCATACTTCAACGTTATACTTGACCTTGACCTCATCTTTTTGTGACAGACTGACAAAATTCAAACGTTTTGGATCAACTTCATTTTTTATTTACTTTAACTTTATCCTGATTTTACAAACAACTGAATTATGATTACTGTCATATTCAGCTCCAGGGTAACTTTTGCATTGTAAAACAGCATTTCAAAATCGTCTATTTATTGTAATGTAATCAATCATATTTTTAACCTTGTAACCGGGACTCTTCCAAGTATATTTTCGCCTCGGATGATTGTCAAACCAGGTGTTGGTAATAAGTTATTTTATACATATGTCTCAGTTCAACTCATTTGATTTAAGTTTTTCCTAAAATAAAAACACCTATTTGAATATTTTTTGAATATTAAACTGACGGTTTGCGAGATACCTTAAATGTTTTAAAATGTAATAAACATTTACACACTTGAGTACAGCGAAAACGTGACAAATTTTTTAACTTTTATACGTAAGTTTTACAAAGTTTAAAATAATAAGACATATTAACAAATTGTTAGTAATTCACAGACAAAACATTTATGATTCTTATGAACAATTTTTGATTGATTTTTTGGTCAATTTCATTGTTTAATATATAGAATAGAAAATAGCTAAATTTGAAAAAATTAACAATAACATGTGCCTTGCTGAATGAGTTTGAAAATTTTTTGCATGATAAATGAACCAGCTTACAACATACACAATAACAACGTTCACTCAATTTAGATGGTTTACGCAATTGTGCAGTCCGAAAACAACAAAAGTAAAATGTAAAAATAAATCAATAAGAAGCATGACAGCAAAATGTTAAACGAAAATTATTTTTTCAAGAAAAGGCATTGCATAGTGTTATTTCACGAAGCGTTTCCACTCAGCGCCACGGTGAATGAAGCAACCTCAGGCGTCAACGACGACCCTGACGTAGGTGGCTTCTTTCATAACCTGGAATAGTGGCAGTGAATTATGATAATTAAAATTCAAACAATCCGAAACCATTTGCTATGAATTATTAACATTAAACAAGTTTTTGAATTAAAATTCAAATTAAGGACAAATTTATTCTGACAGCATTAACAATGAAAATTTCACGGTTACCAACACCAACCTTTTCTGTACTGTCAACATCTAATCTTGCATAGTCCACATCATCTGCAGAGGTTGAATGAATTTTTTCTCCATTCTTGAAGACACTCACCTATGGTATTCAAAAACAAAATTTATGAAACACATCCAATAAAATATGTCAGCTGAAATGGAATGAAACGTCAAGCTCCCAATACTCCACCTTCAATGTTGGAATCTTTTCATGCAAAGTATCCAGAACAGTCTTGTACTTCTACAAGAAAAATTAAAAAATCATAAAAGTCATAAAAAAATTAAAAGGCGTTAACGACATTAACCGAAAACTCAAGATTAACTCAAAGTTGTGAATAAAGTTAAATAACATAAAATTAATTACGTGGTGTTATTTCCTAATGAATGATTTCTAATCATTATTCATTAATAATATTGATAAAAATAATTAATTAAAAAAATGTTTATCAATGAAACACTACTCACTTGTCCAACAATACCGCCAACCAAGCTGAAATCAGGTTCTGATTAGGTTTCAATGTTTGAGAATTAAAGACAACACTAATAACAGTAAAATTATTGCAGGTTTAATTGTACTTAGTTACAAAAAGTTATACACGACATGGTTGACATAACATTATCATTTTGATTGTATTAGAGTATTATAATTGAATAATTAAATGAATAATTTTATTTATTCAATAACCCATTCCACAAAAGTTGGGTGGTTCTTCGACCACAACGTTGGAACCATTTACAACGAGTCTGACCTTCTTGAACCAAAATTCTGAAGGATACATCTTGTAGTTATCCACATTGTGCACAACAAACTGCAATGAAATAGTTTATTTATGGGCTGTCCATGATGCATAGTGTTATATATATATATATATATATATATATATATATGTATATATATATATATATATGTTGGTAATAGACCATAATTTTTACAATATTCTATCAATTCTACCGAATATTAACGCCAAACATTCGGTAGAATTTATAGAATATTGTAAATATATATATATATATATATATACATATATATATATATATATATTCTCAGCGTATTTTGACTCCCCATCGCCCTGTCTACATTTTTAATCTCCTCGAACAAACCTGGTCACCGAGTTAGCTCAGTCAGTAGAAGTGCCATGTCTTGCGCTGCCATTAGGCGATGACATGGTTTGAATACTGTCTGTTCAAAACTCAAAGACCATCATGTCCGTATGATGCGGTGCTTGCGCGTGCACACATAATGTGTGTGTGCGTCGTGTGGTGTGGATATGGTTGTTGACAGTACAGCTTCGTGGCACGAAAGTTTAATTATAAAGTATAGAATAACATGTAAGCAGTTTTGCATTTGACAGAGTTGCGTTATAAAAAAATATTAAAAAAATGTTGACCCCTTCTTGAAAGTTACTCTTCAGTTGCAAACAATTTGAATTGTTTCATGCAAATTATCAATATCTCGAATAATGATAATGATTGACATATGAAGATAAACTACATGTCGCTGAATATAAATAGAAAAGTATATAACTTCAGAAGTAAAATGAAAAGGAGCAAAAATTAAAATGTCAAAAAAGCAAATTTTAAAAAATTAATTTTTTAAAAAGTTACATCAAAATTTTTTTCATTCATGATGGAAATTGCGAAATAGTAAAACGTGATACCACGTAAGTTTTATTCTCTCCTTTTCCCGTTGTCAAAAAGTATCACACTTACTGACCCATCCCCCTCCTAAGCTTGCCACACTTTTGAACATCCTTGGAACATTTGACTCCACAAATGACGAACAAATACATTTACAATTTCAAATACGTAAGTTAAAATTAATTTTCCATATTTTTCAGCAAAAAATAAATTCTATTGAGTATTGTATTTACAAACTACAATGTCATACAATTGAAACAACAATTTTAATAACAGTTAAGTGTGAACATAACAGCCAACCTGCACATTTGCAATTTCTTTCAAAATGGCTTGCTTGACCTCTTCCATGGGCTTCAAATATTTTTATTATTTTCATCATAATGATACAAAACATGAATTTGGTTATTTGAAAAAAAACCTTATTCAGAAGCTCAGGCCAACTTTTGCCAACCGATTTATAACCGTCAGGAAGTACAATCATTGCGAAAACTGAAACAAATTAAAAATGTGATCAGATTTGCCAGCCTGTTAGTACCAACAGAACGCTTTATTCAGTCCACCACACATCTAGCACCACTTCACACATCCCAGACGCACATCCACATCCCACATCATCCATGATTGATCCACTCATACGTCCCCACAGCTAAAATTTTTTTGTTCTCGTACAATCACTGGTTCCAACACGAAAAAATAACCAAAACAAGTAAAATAAAAAAATTTGGCTGCCCCACTGATACCCATTTACATGCATACATATATACCTATATATAACATATGTCACATAAACACGTATGTTTTCATATATATATATATATATATATATATATATATATATGCATTATTATTGTTATATATATATATATATATATATATAAAGGCATTATTATTGTTATATATATATATTATATATATATATATACACGTGATACAAATACACGTACACATTTGTTACATATATTATATGATTCATTAATATCAAATAACTATTAAGCAATAATTATTGTCAAATTAAGTTAAAAAAGTTAATCAAGTTAAAAATTTTAAAAGTAACTAACTGCACGCAAAGCATGATAGGGTCAACAATAAGGAATTATTTAATTTCATTTTAAATCATAAAAAATCTTTTACATAAAAAATTTTAAAAAGACGTAAACATATTTTATTGTTAGTTAACACATTTATGACTGCGAGAACACAGAACAAGTAAGCCTATGAGAAAAGACAAAAACATTCCTTTATTCAAATGTGTTAGTCATGCTTGATTAAATATATGTATAGAAAATTAGTATAATAAAATATACAGCTTATAATATGATATCGTAACAGGGGTTGGCAAACTACAACTCGCGGGCCGCAAGCGGCCTAAGAAACCATTTTATGCGGCCCGACTTTACGAACAAAAAAACTGTCGTCAGCCACAAATCTTAAAAGCATCTTAAAAAAATTAAAATTTCTCTTCCCGATCAATGGGTCGAAAAAATTTGCTATTTAAATACATAAAGTAAAATAGTTTTCAATGCGGCCCTCACAGCAAAAAGTTTGCCCACCCCTGTAGTATAACATAAAATCTTATAACGGCAAAAAATTCAAAACCGAACCCACTCACCACTATTAGATGCAGTAGAAAAAATAAATTGAATGTTGTTGAACGAGCAAATCGAAGAAAGGCCAGCTTAAGTACAATTTCTATTTTGAATCATACGTTCGATGCGTTTCATACATTGCCTGTTCTGCAGCTATTGCATGCATGTCATAATGCATGCCAACAAGCGAATATATCATGAATAATAATGATTCGGGCTCCTTTTTGCAGTCAATACATAATAAATATTAATATAAGAAGGATAGCTGAATATTAATAATAAATGAATGATTACAAACAATAACACATACAGGATAAACATTAATAATGATCAATCGTAATGATGCCGACTCGATCAAACATCGTAATTCATGAGCAATTAATTATAATGGCTACATGCTACATAAATATCTGATTGGTTCTACCAAAAATAAGCCCGAACGCATAGAATGACGGACCATGAAAGTTTATTTCAACCATCAGCTATAACATTTTGAAAACAAATTGAAAAGAAAACAATCAACCCCAGAAATTCCGAACCGAAAATAAATGTGGATATCTCTGTTTTTCCTTATCAAGCATGTTACGAGCACAAGTTAAAGTTAAAATAAGTTTTCAAAACCATACTTACATAGTTATGTTTGTTTCATCTGTAATCATTTTTTCCCAATATAATTTGATTCTATCAAGTATATCAAATTGCATTGATTACATTATTGCATTTTTTTATATTAAAATATTTTTTCATCATTCCTTACCTCATCATCCAATGATTGAGGCTCATTCGGTAAATTTACTCGTCGCATTTGTTACGTGACATGTATTTAAAGTTTATATGCCAGAGAGTTCATTAATATATTATATTTATAAACTTATTCCATGGTTTAATTTAGTCTGTTATTTAATTCATGCATTGTTATCGGAAAAATGCAAATCTAAAAATTTCAGACTAATCGGATAGCAAGCAGCGAATTACCCCAAAAATCTATTTTTACAAAATCTGTATGCTACTGAGACAAACAAACACGTGAAATTAATTGAAGCTAAAAGTTGTGAATTATTTTTCTTCACCGTTAAAAATAACAGAAAAGCTTCAAAATTCTTTTCGGATTTTCTATTGGACTTGTTTAATTATGAAAAAATATATAGATATTTATTGTGTATATTTTATACTATTAGCCAGTTTATAATAGTGAAAAATTAGATAAATATTCGACCGTTTGTTTTTTTATCAAAATGTATTCATTCCTATATGCTTACGTATATGTTTATGTCTGTTCGTTTTTGTGAATGTATAGATGTGCAGTGGCAAATCTAGATATCTTTGACGGGGGGGGGGCAAAATTTTGAAAATGTTCACATTTTTAATTTTCACCCGAGACCAAGATTTGTGGTGGTGTGGCCAAAATTGGGCTGGCGACCTTTTTAACATCTTAAATCCACTACCTTAGGTGTGGAGAAAGAGTTTCTATAGGATAAGGCGCGACTGTCATCGTTTTTGTGTTTGTGTATGTGAATGTGAGTGAATGAATAAAGTGAATGAAGTATGTTGATATTTATGAGTTTGTCCGTATTGTATTAGTGTGAACTGTTAAGTTATGCACATTGCACATGTAAACATGGAAATGTTTGTGCTCCTACATTAATATTGAATAAGTGGTTTAAATTGACATGAGTGAATTTAATTATGTTAGCAATTACGATAAATATCAATGTGGGACTTGACATTCATAAATTTTGAAACGTGAACGAATTCGTTGTTTGTTTGTTGGTTCGTTCTTTAATATTATTGCTATTTCAAACTTTAAATTTTTTGTGGTTTCATGCATACTTTTATTCTACTTTTTAAAGATTTTGCCAAACTTCATTGATACCATGTCTTTCCACTCATATATCTCGACAATAATTATTAATATTCCACTCTTCCTATACATAAATGAAGTCATTCCACCAGTTAAGAAAGAGATAATTAATTAGTTAGTTTTCTAGTATAATCATTTGAAATCAATTTTAAACTATATATATATATATATATATATATATATATATATATATATATTCGTTGATGCCCGTACATAAGCATTTAGTGAATATGAGAGAGTCAGGGTTGTAGTTTGTGTTCTTGAAGATTGTTGGCAACTTGAAAATACACATAACCTTAACCACTGTTTGCAATTGTATTTACTGAAACATTCTGGAAACAATGACATGACATCATGATGGAAAACTAAAAAATAAAATTTTCAAGTAAATAAATCGTTAAATCAACTCATCTTGATAAATAAGTTTTAATTCTAATAACGTTTATGTTAGTTTGACAACATAGTATAAAATGATCACACCGGTACATTAAGTTATTCAGATGTTAGGTCATCACGTCCCTCCTCTTCGGACTCATTTTCAAAAGTTTATATCGGTTATTTTATTTTTCGCTTCAATCTATCAATTTGTTGGACAATTGCATATGTTTATTTTCTTACCACGTGATTTTCAAACAATGTAGCAATTAAAAAAAACATGCCAAGATAACTGCGTATATTAATTTTTAATATTTTATCAAATTATCAAATTTAATTAGTTTGCAAATCTCGACACCATGCAGACAGCACGCTGCCGAAATAATAGATACAACAAAATAACCATGCTTATATTCACAGCACTGCGCTTGAAATCGCTGATAACTTTATGTTAGATTAGGAACAAATATGAACGCGTGCTCTCCTGCCTGCTCTTTAGAAGTAACGGGTACTTCGAACGTGTCTTATTTGAATTTCGTGTTACATATCATGAATTTATTCTTAAAAAACGTGTACTTATTGTAAGAGTTTTCAAAGGCTTAAAATAACTTGGTTCAGTAGCTCATTCTGTTTTCATCTCTATACATGAATATGAACAGCACGGTGAATGTTTTTGACGTTCCTTAATTATTTTGCAGCTTAACGGCGTTTCAGCACGATGCGGCTATTTTAACGCCATTGGGTCATTAGAAACTGATTATTTTGTCACGACATCTAAAAAACTTCAAATTCTGTTGATCAAATCTATCTCCTCCACAAATGAAATCAAGACTTCCTGGCTTCTAATCTGAAAGAGCAATTCTACATTTGATGAACCTGAGTATCCTTCTGATCTGATCGTATTTTTTACATTCAGTTAATATATGCTGAATGGATAGTTTTTTGTCACAGGCTTCACAATAAGATGGCTTTGTTTTGTTGAGGATCCAGAAATGTGTGATTGGTGGGTGTCCTATTTTTAATCTGTTTATAACAGACAGAAGACGACGATTTAAATAACTATTTTTGAACTTTTTGTTATTTACTGATGACATACTTAATTTTAAGAAATTTGATGTTTTATTCCACTCCTGCTGCCATTTTTCAACAATAAGGTTGTTTGCTAAATTCTTTAAATCACTGGACAAAATTGGAACTCTAGATAATGGCATCGAATGAGCTTGAGAAGCCATCTGATCTACCTTTTCATTTCTGTCAATTCCAATTTCAGTTCTTTAATTTGTCATGTTTACTTTAATTTTATGTCTTCTAAGTGATAGTTGAAAATTTTGAAACGATTTTTAAAACTTCACAAAACTGATTCAAGATGGATGAAAAAAGCGGAAAACCGTGTAATGTTGAAACATTATTATTATTATTAAGAAATAAGGCCTGGGCGAAATCCCTTGCCCATAACTATAAAACAAATAACAGAGGATTAAACAAAAATATTAAAGATTAAACAAAAAGTAATGTACAAAATAATTTAAAATTTTTTTTATGATATTATCAAATAAGTGAAATCAGCAGACGAGAACAAATTTATTTCATTGTGATGTTAAGAATTTTTCGACATTAAAAAAATCATCAATTCTAATTTTAATTATTTCCAGAGATGGAGCATCAACAACGTTGCTTGGCAATGCATTCCATGGGGCTACAACACGGTTTGAGAAAAAGTAGATGATGACCTCTGAAGTTGATTTCAGCTCGTCGGCTTAACTGAAGACAAATTGCTGGGTCTACCAGATTATGCAATATTTTATAAACAAAGATTAAGTCACCTCTGAGTGTGCAATATTCAAGGGAAGGTAGATTTAGTTTTACTAATCCTGAGTGGTAATCTAGATTCTTACAAGACTGAAAAATTTTTGTAACTCTTCTTTGAACTCTCTCTAAATCGTTGATCAAGCCTTTCCTATAAGGAATCCAAACTTGGACAGCAAATTCTGGATGTGAACGAACTAAAGATTTGTAGATGCATATAAATGCGCCGTCAGACAGGCAACTTAAATGACGTGCTAGTATCCCCAACATGCAATTAGACTTTTTAATTTGTATCATGGCAGGTTCTTTGAATTGCAGGTGTCTATGACCGCGCCTAGATCAGGGATACTATCCACCGAGGACAAGACATTAGGATTATTGTCTGAGTTAGAGATGAAAAAGTTCGTTGATAAACATCTTCCTATTGTCAATAGACTGCATTTACTGACATTGACTTTCAGCATCAACTTTTGGAACCCCGATATTACGTTGTTTAATAAATCTTGTAACACAACTCCATCTTGTGGCAAAGACACTGACATACAAAAAAATCATACAAAAAAATATTGTTGCAAATTGAATAAATTTCGTTGATATAAATT